GGAGAAGGAAATGGCAACCCACTCCAGTATCTTTGCCATGAAAACCCCATGGACAGTACCAAAAGGAAAAACGATACGACGCCAGAAGATGAGCCCCTCAGGTTGGAAGGTGTCCAATATGCTACTGGGGAAGAGCAGAGGGTTAGTACTGGTAGCACCAGAAAGAATGAAGCGACTGGGTCAAAGCCGAAAGGACACTCAGTTGCAGATGTATCTGGTGGTGAAAGGAGAGTCCGATGCTGCAAAGGTCTATACTCCATAGGAACCTGGAATGTAAGATCCATGAATCAAGGCAAGCTGGACATGGTCAAACAAGAGATGACAAGACTGAACATCGACATCTTAGGAATCAGTGAACTAAAATAGACAGGACTGGGTGAATTTAATTCAGATGACCATCAGGTATACTACTGCGGGCAAGAATCCCTCAGAAGAAATGGAGTAGCCTTCATAGTCAATACAAGAGTAGGAAAAGCAGTACTGAGATACAATCTCCAAAATGACAGAATGATCTCAGTTCGAATCCAAGACAAACCATTCAACATCACAGTAGTCCAAGTGTATGCCCCAACCACTGATGCTGAAGAGGCTGAAGTTGACCAGTTCTATGAAGGCCTACAACACTTTCTCAAAATAACACCAAAAAAGGATGTCCTTATCATCGCGGGGGATTGGCATGCTAAAGTAGGAAGCCAAAAGATAACTGGAATAACAGGTAAGTTTGGCCTTGGAGTACAAAATGAAGCAGGGTACAGGCTGGCAGAATTCTGTCAAGAGAACACACTGGTCATAGCAAACACTCTTTTCCAACAACCCAAGAGATGACTGTACACATGGACATGACCAGACGGTCAACACAGAAATCAGATTGACAATGTGCTCTGCAGCCAAAGATGAAGAAGCTCTATACGGTCAGTAAAAACAAGACCAGGAGCTGACTGTGGCTCAGATCATGAGCTTCTTGTTGCAAAACTTAGGCTTAAATTGAAGAAAGTAGGGAAAAGCACTAGGCCTCTCAGGTATGTTCTATTGTATTTCAATGTATCTTATTGTGTTGTAAGCCGCCCCGAGGCTTCGGCAAGGGGCGGCATAGAAATGTTATAATAATGATGATGATGATGATGATGACGACGACGAGTTAAGTCATATTCCTGATGAATATACAGTAGAGGTGACAAATAGATTTAAGGAATTAGATCTGATAGAGTGCCTGAAGAACTATGGACAGAGGTTCGCAACACTGTACAAGAGGTAGCAACTAAAACCATCCCAAAGAAAAAGAAACACAAGAAAGCAAAATGGCTGTGTGAGGAAGCTTTACAAATCGCTGAGGAAAGAAGGGAAGCAAAAGGCAAGGGAGAAAGAGAAAAGATACACCCAAGTGAATGCAGAATTCCAGAGAATAGGTAGAAGAGATGAAAATGCCTTCTTAAATGAACAGTTCAAAGACATAGAAGAAAACAATAGAATAGGGAGGACCAGAGATCTCGTCAAGAAAATCAGAGATATGAAGGGAACGTTTCATGCAAAGATGGGCTTGATAAAGGACCAAAATGGCAGGGAACTAATAGAGGCAGGAGAAATTAAGAAAAGGTGGCAAGATTACACAGAGGAACTATACAAGAAAGAGCTTAATGTCCGTGATAATCACGATAGTCACTGACCTCGAGCCAGACATCTTGGAATGTGAAGTCAAATGACCCTTAGGAAGTCTGAGCAACAACAAAGCTAGTGGAAGAGACAATATTCCAGCTGAGCTATTCAAAATCCTAAAAGACGATGCAGTAAAAGTGCTACACTCAATATGCCAGCAAATTTGGAAAACTCAACAGTGGCCACAGGATTGGAAAATGTCAGTTTACATTCCGATCCCAAAGAAGGGTAATGCCAAAGAATGTTCAAATTACCACACCACTGCACTCATTTCACATGCTAGCAAAGTTATGCTCAAATTCCTAAAAGCTGGGCTCCAGCAGTATGTGGACAGAGAACTACCAGAAGTACAGGCAGGATTTCGAAGAGGCAGAGGAACCAGAGATCAAATTGCCAACATATGCTGGATCATGGAGAAAGCTAGGGAGTTCCAGAAAAACATCTACTTCTGCTTCACTGACGATGCTAAAGCCTTTGACTGTGTGGAACACAACAAATTGCGGCAAGTCCTTAAAGAAATGGGAGTACCGGACCATCTTATTTGTCTCTTGAGAAACCTATATGCGGGCCAAGAAGCAAAAGTGAGAACTGGATACAGAACCACTGACTTGTTCAAAATTGAGAAAGGAGTTCGGCAAGGCTGTATACTGTCACCCTGCCTATTTTACTTACATGCAGAGCACATCAAGAGAAAGGTGCAGCTAGATGAATCACAAGTTGGAATTAAGATTGCTGGGAGAAATATCAACAAATTCAGATATGCAGCTGATACCACTCTAATGGCAGAAAGTGAAGAGGAACTAAAGAGCTTCTTGATGCGGGTGAAGGAGAAGAGCGCAAAAATTGGCTTGAAACTCAACATTAAGAAAACTAAAGTCATGGCATGTTGCCCTATCAGTTCCTGGCAAATAGATAGGGAAGAAATATAGGTAGTGACAGATTTTATTTTCCTGGGCTCCAAGATCACAGCAGAAGGGGACTGCAGCCAAGAAATTAAAAGACGCTTGCTCCTGGGGAGGAAAGCTATGGCAAATCTAGACAGCATACTAAAAAGTAGAGACATCACCCTGCCAACAGAAGTGCGTATAGTCAAGGCTACGGTTTTCCCAGTTGTAATGTATGGCTGTGAAATTTGGACCATAAAGAAGGCTGAGCGCTGAAGAATTGAGGCCTTTGAACTGTGGTGCTGGAGGAGACTCCTGCGAGTCCCTTGGACTGCAAGGCGATCAAACCGGTCAGTCCTAGAGATCAACCCTGACTGCTCTTTAGAAGGCCAGATAATGAAGATGAAACTCAAATACTTTGGCCACCTAATGGGAAGGAAGGACTCCCTGGCGAAGATCCTAATGCTGGGAGCAATAGATGGCAAAAGCAGAAGGGGCCAGCAGAGGATGAGGTGGCTGGATGGAGTCACTGAAGCAGTCGGTGTCAGCTTAAGTGGACTCCAGGGGATGGTGGAGGACAGGAAGGCCTGGAGGAACGTTGTCCATGGGGTCGTGACGGGTCGGACAAGACTTCGCAACTATCAATAACATGTGGAAAAGCATTAAATAGAGCCACTTCTTATAAGTGAATGGTAAATCAGAGCATGTTTTGCACAGGTTTGGGTGTTTGGAACCTTCTCACTTATAAGCAGCAACAGCAGCACTGATAAGACATTTGTGGCTTGATCTGGAGAAGGGTCAAAGCTTTGAGAACTGGCATTATTGGGGCAGGAACCAATAAGTTCCTGGCTGAACTATTAGCTCTCCAAGAACTAGGTTGGCCTATGCAATTTACAACTCTCCAGGTATAGCCTTCAATGGCGGGCGGGGGGCTACTAGCGTATTGTAAAAATTACGAAGCCAAACACTTGGCTCATTGTAGCAGCACTTTATTTTGAAAACTGTTACAAATGGTAAATTTTCTTAAGCCCTTTGAGAAAGCAGCTGCGGTGTGCATCGTTGTATAGGCGCCACGGACTGGGTCCCTGCAGCGCACAGAAAGCGGTCTCGTGTGCTCAGACTGACGCCGCTGGTTCACGGGAAAGCAGCAGCGTTCGGAACCTTCCAGGGCTGGCGAGCGCGACGATCCCGGCAACCGCCGCAGCCACAGCGTCGCCAGGACGGCCGGTCCGGAACTGTGCTCGGGGCGGGCAGGAGCGCCAACGTCGCCGGCTTTTCCTCACCCCGACCAGGCCGGAAAGCCGCGCGGCGGAGCTGGAGGCCGCGCGGCGCCACGGGCAAAGACCGAGCCTACGGGGCCCTTCAGCCCCGCGCCTGGGAGCCGTGGCTGCCGCGGAAGAGCCGGCGGAGGAGAAGAGCGGCTGAGGCGATTCCACGGGGGGAGGAACAGGACAGCCGGAAGAGCCGAGCCCCCCCGCGCGTCGGGCCACCTTAGCAAGGCCGAGGTGGAACAGCAGCGGCCGCAAGCCTGCGCCACCGGAAGAGCAGCTGCGTGCCAGGGCGGGGCACCTGGCGCCAAGCGCCCGCCCGCCGGTCTCCATGGTGACGGACACGCCGCGCGTCGCTGACAAAAGCACGAAGCGCCAGGGCGCTCTCGCTTCCGGCACGGCCGCGACCCCATGGCGAACTACAAGGTACGGCGGCGTGGGTGGCCGGGTGGCCCTCCTAGCGCGTGCTCGCTCGCTCCTCTCTCTCTCCCTTCTCCGCAGGCCGCCGACTCCAAGCGGGAGCAGTTCCGCCGCTACCTGGAGAAGTCCGGCGTGATGGACACCCTTACCAAAGGTAAGCCGGGCCAGCGCTGGGCTCTGCTGCGGGGCGGGGCTGAGCTGGCGCAGCTCGCCCGCCCGCCCGCCCGCCGCCCCGCTGTCGGCCGCCCCTTCCTCCTCCTCCTCCTCCTGTTTTTCTGCAGTCTTGGTAGCCTTGTACGAGGAGCCGGAGAAGCCCAGCTGCGCCCTGGAGTATCCTTCGCTCGACGCCCCGTGGCCGCTTCTGAAACTAAGTCGGCGTGAAAACGCCGGGGAGCTCTGCGGGATATCCGGAGGAGCCGCGCGGTGGGGCGGCACCGGCGACCCCCCCCCCCCCGGCGCGTGTCAGGGCTGCCCCCTTTGCCGTGCTTGCTTCCTTCACTGGAGGAGAGCCGCCGTCTCAGGCTTCTCAAATTGGCCTATTCGAACGAGTTAGCCTGGTTTGGTGCTCTCGGAAACGAGCCTGAGTGTAGTGGGCCTTGCCATGTCGGAGGCCGTGTGGAACAGCTGAGTGGGGAGAGTGCCTCCGCGTGCAGCTCGTGCATTGCACCCTGCTTCCTCTAAACAAAGAAAAATCTTAACTGCTGGTTGCAAGCTTTCTGAAACATCATTTGGGAGCTAGTGCACCAGAAAATCCAGAAGTTGAGGCCCTGCGTTTGGAAGTGGCAGAGATGAAAGAGAAGTTTGAAGCTGTGCTGGAAGAAAACAAAAAGTTAAAAGCCAAGGTAAAGCCTGAGGGTATTTAGTATTTCATAAAAAGCATATTAGGGGGAAATCCATTCAGTCCAGCTCTTGAACAAATGACTACTCCTAACCTAAATTTGTATTCCTTGCTCTTGATAAAAAAAACCACTTTGAATTTGCTAGTAAGGTCTAATTTTGTGGATAACAAGGCCATCAATAGATGCTACACAGGATAGCTTCATTATTTCCAGTTCAAAAGTAATTTGCTTTTGAAGACCACTATTGGGGAACATTACTATAACGTCTTTGGACAGATTTATATATTTTCTTTGCAAATGTTTCTGCAGGGAAACAAATTAGCTGTAATGCAATGGTAGAAATTTGCTATTGTGTTTTACACTTACAAATTATATAGTATAATATATTTAAGGAAACTATAATATGAAGGGGTCCTCTTAAATTGCTGAAACATAACAAATATTTTTCTCATGCAGCTTGCTCAGTATGAGCCACCTCAGGAAGAGAAGAGGGGAGAATAAGGTTCTTTTCATATTATTGGAATAAAAAAAAACCTAGAAGCATTGCTGATATCTGTAAAAAATTTTTTAGTCATTGTCCTGTGGAGCCTTTAACTTATTTCTTACAGAAGTTTTCCTGGGCTACAGCACTGTTCTCTTCATCAGACACAGATATTATCCTGAGTTATACATATGGAGAGATTCAGTGGGCAAGGAATCAGGAAATCCTGGTTCTAGTCCCCATTTGCCCATGAAGCTCACTGGGTGATTTTGGGCCAGTCACTACCACTCAGCCTCACCTGTTTTATTGGGTTGTCGTGAGGATAAAATAGGTTTGTGTAAACAACCTTTGGTTCCTTGCAGGAAAAAAGCACACAAAATAAAATGTACACACATGGGCTATGATAGGGAAATTAAATGCAGAAAGTACAATTAGTGATGTTAGCAGGAGTTAGATTCTGAGCTCAGTGTAACTATCTGGGAAACAACTTGGATCCAGGTCTTCATGGATGAATATATGACTAATCTTGAGAAAGCAAAAAATGACTCTTTTTCCTGTTTGCCATAACTGGATGAAATTTACTTATATAATCATCCCTTATTAAGCGATTATGTTTGCCAAGTAAGTGCAGGAAGTTTTGTGTAAAAGCCTTTACAGCTTGGGAAGCTTCCAAAACAATGCACCTATCCCCATTTTGGGTAATTGGTACGAAAGGTTCCAACTCTATTGACAAACCTTTAAAAGTTGAATATTTCCCTTTGTATTTTGTCATGCTCATCTGTAAAGCATTGACAAGAAATTTAAATATTCTAAAACATTTGTCAGTACTAAACAAAACCTTTACAAAAATGATTTTCTCGTCAATTTTAATAATGGATGACTATATTTGGTTGTGAGATCATTGTAGACTGAAAAATCTGGAAGTATATAAACAATACTTTCCAATGATATGAAATTACAACCACATACTCTATGCAGCTTAGCCCTTAATTCCAACCCTCCCAGTTTGTCAAAGGAAGAACAGTCAGTCTTAGCCTGGTATGGGCTACCCTCATTTTAACAATTGGCAAATTTATCAGCTATTTTGGAGGAGAGAAGTATGAAGGAATAAAGGAGGCATAAACACTGATAGATCAGCAGGCTTGATTGCATCTTGGTATCTTTAAGTGTTTGGACCAATATTGCTTTAGCTCTATCAGATCTGGAGACAGATAATCTCATTGTCTGTCTTAAATATCTTTTTAACCAGAACAGCGGGGCAAATCTAAGAACTTAAGCTTTAATAGTTATTATGCCAAGTTCTGCATAAACTAGCTCTAATTTTGTCAATGCAGGAACTACCAAAATTCTATGCAAATATTTATTTTGTGCTCTTTTGAATGAATTTGAATTGGTTGTGGCTCATAAAGGAGACCCATATAACAATTTTGGCAAAACCCTAGTCTTCCCCAACCCAAAGGTGGGCAGCACTACATTATCTTTTGCATGATAAAACCATATCATCTCTGCCTCTATCACAGTGATTTTTAAGCAATCAAATGCTTTAAGGGGATTTAACCTCTTTTCTCTTAGCAGTTCCCTCATTGTGGAGGTTTTCTATTTTGAAGGCAAACAATTGTATTTCCCCATACGTATTCCTGGGCAAATTCACCTAGGATTAAATTCACAATTGCCTCCCCTCAGGTTGGTTCTGTGACCAACTGCTCCAGGGCACAGTCATTTAGGACATCAAGAAATTTAATATCTGTGTTGGAGCTGGAACATACTTTCATCCAGTCAATGTGTTGAAGTCATCCATTATTACAGTACTGCCTTTGTTGGAGGCCTCCATGATTTCATTCCCCATCACACTGCATTCTGGTCTGGAATGTGATAGCATACTCCTGAGGGAAAAGGAGAAATAGATTTCTAGAACCATTTCCACTTGATTCCTTTTAAAGTGCTCTTATTCTGTTAAAGATAAGAGCTCTTAGTGCTCTTATTGTTAAAAATAGCCAGTTCAACTGTTGACACTTGCCCTCTGTTACAAGGATGGATTTCTCCTTGCACAGATATTTAGTAATTCTCTTACACCCCATACTCCAGCTAGAGATCTGGAATTTATCCTTAAATCAAGAGTTCTAGATCTTTAACAAGTCACATTAGTGATCCAGCAAATTTCAGATTGAAGTGAAGCAATAGGACATAACCAGACCATATGTATGTGTTTATACCTGAATTACATCTGCTAAAATTCATGCCAAAATGTTGGTGTTATCAGCAACACCTGTTTTGTGAATGGCTACTATTTAAGATAATTATCACTCTGTATTTTATTTTTCTCTTGACTCTCAATTCCTCTTACAACTATGGGATGCATTTTGAAACAGGATAATACTTGTTCATAGGCTCCCTTAATTCTGACTTTCTTATATCTATTTCTTTAATACTTACAAATATAAGTGAGATGATTGTAGGTGACATTACACAGGCAACCAAAGAAAATTATACATGTACACACACATCTTAAACCTTTTATAAAGTGCATTTGTTAGCTGAAAAAAATGGTGACAAAACCTTTTTAAAAGCAAACTTTACTTCAAATCTGGAAATGACTGACATTAGGCAAGCTACTCTTTTTCCATTAAATCCTGAAATATTGCTTAGGATATGATATGCAGAAAGAGCACATCAAAAATTATCAAGTAAGGGAAGATGGAGCTCTCCTGAGCACAATCCAATGGGTTGTGTACCTATTAGAGCAAGTCTCTAGAAGTGCAAACTTCAGAGCATCTAATCCCCTGCTGGGCTCCTGCCAGCTGGGTGGAAGAAATGGTGAAGTCCCCAAAATCTCCTGTATTCCACCTCTGCCAGATAGTGAAAGCACACGGATGGGGCTGGTGAGGCCACGGAGTTGTCTGCTGCCAGCTCGCTCCCTTTCCTGCCCAGAATCCTCCCCCTCGTGACACAATCCACGGCCCCGGCTTGGTTCTTGCCACTTTTTCTGCAAGGGGGAAGGGCCGAATTGGGGAGTTTCCCCTCCAGAGGTCTCCGTAACACCTACAGCTTCAGGACGGGGTCACGAAAGTGCTCCAAGGTTAACCCGAGAAGTGTGGCCGGCGCGGCGCGGCCTTTTTCGAAGGCGGCCACCACCTCTTAAAAGACAGCCGCGCATCGAGAGGCCGCACAGCACCGCTCTAGCCGCTGAAGAGCCCGCCGGAGTTCCGGGAGACGTTCGTTCCCAGGAGCGCAGTTCCCGCCCGTGAGGCGCGCTGTTGGCCCCCGGGCCGCTGCAGCGGCGCGTCCCCAGCTTTCAGGTGTGCTGGCCGGCGCCCGCCCCCCGCCTATGCGCGACCACCGGAGTATCCCGGTTCCGTAGAAACGGCGGCCGGCGCTCTGCGGAGCCACGAAAGCGGGTGTCGGTCGCGGGGGCCCGTCCGCAGCGCGTGGAGATCAACGCCGGGGCGGAGCGGGGAAGGGAGAACGGAGCGCGGTCGCCGGGGAGCGGCGATGCCGCGCGGGGGAAGGAGCCCGGCGCGGCGCGGCGCGGCGCGGGCCGCGGGAGGGGCCTGCCGGAGCCGCGCCCCGCGCAAGCCC